TGCCTCCTCTTGTTAAGTGGTGTTTCTTCCACTCTAGGGTACAAAGGAACTCTGCCCCCCTTGAAACCAGGAGAACAAAAATCAAGGTAAAATTTACCTTCATCCTAATTCTATACACTGCTCTTCTTTATAGCCCTTCCAGACAAATGTCCAGAGAGTCTGATTTTCCTCTCACGCTGGTGTGAATCAGGAATAACTCCACTGAAGTTAGTTAGGTTCACTGGTGTAAAATCAGTGTGGGTGGAGAACTGGGTCATGTCTCAGGGCAGCCACTCTACTGTTCCACCTGCGTCGTGCACATTTCAAGAGGGGGCTGCAAAGCAGCAGCACATCACTACTGAACAACCAGGCCATAGCGTCCAGGGGCACTTCACTGGGAGCTTTCTTCAATCCATGTGAAACTAACGCAAGCTACATTTCTGAGCTGGAGCTGTCACTGCTCCTGTTTCTGCATCTGATCCGGACTTTTCACAGGGGGAATTCCGTATGTAAGTTTCGTATTTTGAGAAGTTCTTGGATGCAAAGTGATCACAGACCAACTTGTTAAAGTGAAGGGGTGTGCTTAAAATGCTCTCCTTTGTGACCAACAGCATGAGCAGAATTGGTCAAAAATTTTCCAGCAGGATGCTTCTCTGTCACAAAATACTGGTTCATTGAAACCAAAACTTCCCGTGGGAACATGTCAATTTTTACAACATTTCATTTAGAGAAAACATTGAAAAAAGCTTTTTGATTAATTTTAAATCTTCCTCTGACATTTTCAGAATAGAACATTTCACTTTTTCTGTTTTGAAACAACTTTTTGTTTTGAAATTTCTTTGGCTTGATATTAGTAAAAAAATGTTGAAATTGAAACGAAATGTTTCGACTGACCTGAAGCAAATATTTTCCAAACGTGTCACATTGTAGGAAATTTCAAAACAAATGTCAAAAACGTGGCATTTCGTACAACATGAAAAACCTGGTTCCTGCACAGTGCTAGACAGGAACAGCTCAGCCCTCTCTAGTGCAAAACAACTGCATGCAAAGGAAAGGGCTGATGCCTCAACCCATTGTCAGACCTTTCAGTTCAGAAGGAAAATGTGGAGCTTATGTGCTTCCCTAGGTTTCATACATAGGGGCTGAGGGCACAAACAGAACTATGTATTAAGCAGTTAGGAGAGAGAACTTAGTGTAGTTTCTGGAAGGAAGCAGGCTACACATGTTTGACTATGGACTCGTCTACGTTCCGCTTTTGCACTAATTAAATGGAGGGGGCAGAGGCTCAAGCTAGTTGGTTCTAGGAACAGGGCAGTGGTTTCTTACTTGGGATTTCTGCACAAGGAGCTGCCTGCGTACAGTTTGTCCTGACTGCTGTTCAGAGAAACAAGACTGGTGTTTATTTTGTAAATAAACAAATTACACTAAGAAAAAATTGAACTGATTTCTGTTCCAAACAGGAAACTGACTTGTGTGGCCCAAAATTTGCCCAGTGCTCAGCCAAAGGGGGCAACATTACCACCAACTGGTGGTATTGCCCAGAAATTTGTCCGTTGTCAGACTTAAATGGCCACTGTCTATAAAGAAACATCTGAGGCTTCTGGGTCAGCAAACTTTTTTAGACATCAAGATTGAATAAAATGTGGAGAAATTTTCCCTAGATAGAAACGGCAGGATAACTAGCTGTAAACAATAGGAGGCATGGAAGCACACAAGCCATGTTTGAAAGTCGAGCTTGGGAAAGCCAAAATTGATTCAGTTTTATTCTTATAATGTTTGCAAAATGCAGGTAATTCTTCATTTAATACACATGGAATTTCATAGGTTCAGCAAATATGTAACCTAAGTCAATAGGGACTTTGGCTAATTCACATTTCTTATGATCAACCCATTCACAGCAATAAAAAAAGAGCATTCATTAAAAAAAATTTGTCTCAATCTGGGTGTTGGAACTGTCTACTACAAATAATGCAGCGTATGTGCTAGTAATGGAGGAGAAAAATGGGTAAGAAAAGGCATTTCATATTCAGGCTTCCAAGGAGTTCTAAACCAGTGATTTATTTATTCCATAAATAAATCACTGGTTTAGTTCCTAGAGGAGAGGGAGGAAGCAACCCAAAGGTCTTGAAGCTGTGGAGCGAGACAAATAGCATGTCATCATGTATTTAGCAAACTATAATGCAAACCTCAGAAAAATAGAGAGGAGGGGAGATATATGTTCTGTAGGCTGGAAAGTTATTGAATGCTTGAAGCCAGCAAGCTGTTTAAAGGATGGAGGGATTTCCCTGGCTATTTCTCCCACAAACACCCTGAAACAAATAACTGGTGGTGGTGGTGGGAAAATTAAATTAAAACTATTAAAAATACTTTGGCTGTGCCCCTTTTTTAAATCAATAATATTGTTGCCGAGTGAGACTTGCTATTTTCTGCAAAGAACAATTAGTTGATTTCAGAAAAATTCATTTTAAAATGGCACTTTAATGACTGTGGTTTGCAAACACTGTATTTTATTGATATTAATTGTAGTTTAGTATTAGAACAGTGAGTGTTTATGTAGCACTGTAAATGTACCTAGTGCATTGTAAAAAAGGGCCTGATCCTAAACCCCTGCTGAGGCTACTGGGAATTGTTAGTCCTCTGCACTTTGCATGATCAGATTCAGAGCAAGGCATATTCCCTTCCCTGAAGAGTTTATGTTCTAAAGGCCAATCCTGCATGCATGCAAGTAACTTCACACAGCTGAATGGTCCCACTGACATCTTTGCTGTCAGGATTGAATGCTAAAGGCCTGATTCTGCAAGGTGCTGTGCCCTTCCAACTCCTACAGAAATCAACAAGGAGTTGAAAGTACTCAGCACCTCACAAGAGGTGCTCAGGACCTTGCAGGATTAGGCCTCTAAAATAAACAAGATGTGGAACAGCACTTGAAATATGAGAGGGGATGGAGACCTTATGGGCAAGGAGAACAAGACAAGAAAGATTCCTTGGAAACATGGGGCCAGATTCTCTGCTGATGTAACTCTACTGAGTTCAATGGAGTTAGCTGGCAGAGAAGTTGACCCAGGGAATTAAAGGAGAGATTTAAAAGAGAGAAAGGGTGTTTGGTGGGCAAGAATTGGGAAATTGTTCCAAGGGAAGAGGCAGCATGAAAACAGAGGCAAACCTGAAGATGGAGACAAATGGAACAATAAGGAGAATCAAGAAGTTTAGGGAGTGAAGGGGGAGTAGGTGGAAATGAGAAGGTTTGAATTTAAACACACAAATTTTGAAAATACAAAAGTTGAGTTTCTCATAGCAACTCATTACACGTGGCTGGCAAGATCCGGATCTCAGTCACACTGAAGAGAATAAAGTTACTTCAGATTTACATCAGTGTGGGGTTACTTTGGATTTACACAGGTGTTCTGAGATTAGCATTTGACTCTGGGGTACCCATTAGAATAGACATTCACTCCAGAGCTAAATTTTGAAGGTGCATTTTGTAATCAGCAAATGCCTGTGGTTACCTATGGTCTCTACATCTATCTCCTTTCAACTGCTTCTTCATTATAGGCTCTAAAATGTGCTGAGACTGCAAGTTTCCTGCTTCATCACCATGATCAGCCTGAACTTTGCTCTGGCCCCACCATGATAATGAGTTGTTATGATTATTATATAACTGCTGTGTAAAGAATCCAGCACGTGTACAGTGGAAGCAATTTATTTTGGAGAGGGGAGGAGGAAACTGGGTTGGCAGAGACATCCCTGCAAATTAAACTAGGAGTAAATAAACCCATTAAACAATATTCAGGCATAGATGCAAAGCAGTGAGCAATAGTAAAAGCCAGCACAGACCATCTCACTACCAATGCAATTTAATTTGTCAGAAACTCAGCTGATTTTAATTGTTTTTGACTTTGCCTCCAATGTGTTTCTACTACATGTAGAATAAAATAATTTTAAATATGAACTACAATAATAAAATATTTTTTAAAGGATATGCTCATTTCTTGTGCCTTCCTCCAAGAATTTCAAAGCACTTAACAAACATCCTGGAAATAACTACAGGCCCAGGGAGACTCGCATGCATAGTTACTCATCTGCAGAAAGTATTGGCAGGATCGGGGCCATTACTGAAGTAAGTTTCAGATCACATCTGGGAGGTAGGTCAGTATGATTTACCCCATTTTATTGATGGAGCAACTGAGACTCCAGTTGTGCTATGGGAGGCCCATGGCCAAACCCCTACACCCACATGGAGTTCCTTGGAGGATAAGCATTTGAGAAACAGAGAAATTGACTTCCCCAACACTAAACGGTGAGTCATTGTCAGAGTCAGGAATAGAATCTGTGGACCCAGTTGTGCAATATGCTCTGCACAGTGGGAGCCGTGAACCTGCGTAGGGCCCTGCTGAAGACACTGGGAGCTCCATTTGGGTATAAGGGTTTATTCCTGTTGGGCACCTTGCAGGACCAGGATTTCAATCTCCGCAAGCTCTAGTCTGTGCTCAACAGACCACGTTTCTTCAACAAACTCCCCACATCTGTGGTCGTCAGACAGTTGTTTTCCAGGGTAAAGCCAGATGTCCTAAGTGGCTGGTCAGGTCTGTTTAAAAGCAAAAAGTGGGCACCTTTAAGCAATAGAGCAAATAGTCTCAAAATATGATCTATTAATAACACAATTATCACTTGAAATAGTTATTGATCATTTTTCAGTTAGCACAGTTATCAATGGCAAATTACGATTAATATTAATTAGTTATGTGTATTATATTTATGGATCGACAATTATTATTGATATTAGTTATTCAGGATTGCCATTAACAATAATCTTCGCTCTTTTTGGCTTGATCTAGTCGATTAGGGAGCCAGACTCGCACGTCTGGCTGCGAGCGGCTTTCTGAACACACCACCCCTTTGCAATGCTGCGGGCACATGCCGGCTTTAAAGCTCCGGTCGGATCTATGTCCCTGCTCCCGCCCCCTCGCGGCGGAAGGATTTCGCGAGCGCGGGACGCTAGGAAAGCGAACTCTCTCTTCGCGCTCTGCCTATAAAGCGTTCCCGGCCGCCGTGCCGTTGCACTTAGTGTTCGTGCGCCACCAATGCTTCCTGAGAGGGGACGGCGGCCATTTTGTTCGGTGCTGGGTCGCTGCTGAGAGCGGCGGGCGGGAGGCAGGCGAGCGCCGGGCCGGCGGGCAGCAGGGAGAGGCGGGCGACTCGGGCGCGGGAGCTGCGGAGCCCGCATTGCCGCTGAGAGGCGATGGCGGATATAGACAAGCTCAATATCGACAGCATCATCCAACGGCTGCTGGAGGGTGAGGGAGCGGGGGGTCCTGGCGGCGGAGCGGGGTCTGGGGGTAAGCACGGCGGGCGGGAGAGCGGCGGGGGGTCCCTGAGGGGATGCCCTCGGCCCCGCCGGCTGCAGCCGAGGGAGGGTCCGGTGGGGCTGGAGCCTGGGGGCGGCAGGGGGGCGGGCGGCCGGGCTCGGCGCGAAGGCAGGGGCCGGCGCGGTGTGTCCGAGGGCAGCCGGGGCGGTGAGGGGGCCCTGCCCCATACGCGCCGCTCGCCCGTGCCGGGCCCCCCCTCCAACAGGGCTGGCCGCAGCGGAGCGGCGCTTTGCCCGTGCCCCCGTGACCTCCCGGCTTCGCCCGCCCTGCCGTCTCGCCCCCTCTGGCCGGCCTCTGCGTGGTCACGCCGGGAGTTTCCTTCCGCGCCGGCCCTGGTGGAAAACCAGTGTCCTGAGCGGCGCTGCGGCGCGCTTCCCCTCCCCCCGCCCCATTCCCAACCGGGGGGCGATTGGGGGGGGAGGAGGGAGAGAGAGGTTCAGAAGCTGAATGTCCAGTATCCTGCCCCCCGCACACATGCGCAGTAGATGAATGCTTGGCTGGGCAGTTACCGGGGGGCTGCAGCTTGTCTCTGTCTGAAGCAGTGGTTCTCAACCTCCTGGGGGCCACGGCCAGGTTTCAGGGGATCCACCAAGCAGGGCCGGCATTAGAGTTTCTCGAGTCCGGGGCAGAAACCCGAAGCCCAGCCGCGTGGGGCTGAACCCCGGAGCCCCGCCATCCAGGGCTGAAGCCAAAGCAACTTAGCTTTGTGGCTTCACCTGTGGCATGGGGCTGTGGGCGGTTGCCCTGCTTGCTACCCACTAACGTATGCCCTGGCTTTTATATGCAGAAAAACCGTTGTTGTGGCACAAGTGGGCCATGGAGTTTTTATGGCCGGGGGGCTCAGAAGGAAAAAGGTTGAAAACCCTTGGTCTAAAGGACAGAGATTCTGTTGTAATAGCCTTTTCAGAATAATCTGTGGGATTTTCTGTGTGGTTCTTCAGGTGGGAAAGGTTATCATTTTTAATTAGAACCTTGTAATCTGTTGTTTGTAGGAATACAAACCTCTGACTTTGGGTGTGTAATTATGAGTTTTAGTTTATACAGCCTCATATTTGATTTTTTTAAAGTGGAAGTGGGCTGCTTTTGCACTTGTAAATGCCATTTTATTGAAATGGTTTGTTCTGTCCATCTGTAATGCTTTGGGAGATAGGGAGGTGCACCCAGTGTCTAGTCTTTTCTAAATAAATATGGGGGTTGTGGTGGGTTTCATTTTTTTTATTTGGTCAGCATCTGATTAAAATGGTTTGTTTTTCTTTGGCAAAGGTACAAGGTTGTGAAGTAGCCAGTGGATATTCTCCTTGGAATAGAAAGCAAAATAATTTATTTAAAGAAGAAAACTGGATGTATCCAGCCTGTCTCAAGTCTGTCTATGCACTCATAAGTCTGGATTTACCCTGGAAGAGCTTGGCTGGGTTTTAATTTTTTTCCCATTTGGCACGAAGTAATCTAGGACTTTGTTGAGCCAGATAGTAGATAAATGCCTTTAATCTCTTCCTTTTTGTGAGATTTCTTTGACCTGGATAATGAAAGGCCAGGGCAAAGGGACAATTTTGCTGCTATAGAAACTATTAGAATTTACAAATCCAGTGGATTTGGTTTGTGATTGTGCTGCTTATATATAGAGAGACAGAGCGCTTGTCTCTCTTGTTAGGGGGTGTTGAAGGAAAAAAAATTTTTTTTGCATGTCTTTGACAAGTTTAGGCAGAAGTGTTCATGAAAAATTGCTGCTTTTTGCAGGTGTCAGCTCCTTGTTTCAGTGTGTTTGGTGTTTAATAGAGTTTAAAAGTTGTTTGTATAGTGGCTACTTACTGTTGTTGTTGTTTGCCTTGCTATAGCATAACTATCAATAGTATTTTCCAGGAAAAGAACATAAATATGTCAAAGTTCTTTAACAAGAAAAAGTAGCTGAAATGTTAAAAGGTAGAACAAGTAGTAAGATGTATTTGATATTTTATATAATGCTTATTTGCTGTCTAAGACTTTTTGGGATTGGGTGGGAATGTGAAGGTTGCTGTCTTGAAATTAGGGTTGTCAAGTGATTAAAAACATTGTGATTAATCGCACTGTTAAACAATAACAGAATACCATTTATTTAAATATTTTTGGATGTTTTCTAAGTTTCCAAATATGTTTATTTCAATTATAACACAGAATACAAAGTGTACAGTGCTCACTTTATATTATTTTTGATTACAAGTATTTTCATTGTAAAAAAACAAAATAAATAGTATTTTTCAGTTCACCTGAAAAAATACAAGTACTGTACTGCAATCTGTCATGAAAGTTGAATTTACAAATGTAGAATTATGTACAAAAAATAACTGCATTCAAAAATGAAACAATGTAAAACTTTAGAGCCTACTAGTCCACTCAGTCCTATTTCTTGTTCAGCCAATCGGTTGCACAGACAAGTTTGTTTATGTTTGCAGGAGATAATGGTGCCTGGTTCCTGTTCAGTGTTACCTGAAAATGAGAACAGGCATTCGCGTGGCACTGTTGCAGTCAGCATTGCAAGATGTATGCATCTGATGAAGTGAGCTGTAGCTCACGAAAGCTTATGCTCAAATAAATTGGTTAGCCTCTAAGGTGCCACAAGTCCTCCTTTTCTTTTTGCGAATACAGACTAACACGGCTGTTACTCTGAAAATTGCAAGATATGAATCTTTAGCACATCTGGCACGTAAATATGTCCCTTCATGTTTCATCCACCATTCCAGAGCACCTGCATCCATGCTGATGACTGGTTCTGCTTGATAACAATCCAAAGCAGTGCAGACTGACGCATGTTCATTTTTGTAATCTGTGTCAGGATGCCACCAGCAGAAGGTTGATTTTCTTTTTTCTTGTTGTTTGGGTTCTGTAGTTTCTGCATCGGAGTGTTGCTCTTTTAAGACTTCTGAAAGCATGCTCCACGCACCTCATCCCTCTCAGGTTTTGGAAGGTTTTCAGATTCTTAAACCTTGGGTCAAGTGCTGTGGCTATCTTTAGAAATCTCACATTGGTATCTTCTTTGTGTTTCGTCAGATCTGCAGTGAAAATGTTCTTAAAATGAACAACACGTGCTAAGTTGTCATCTGAGACTACTATAACGTGAAATATGTAGCAGAGTGCGGGTAAAACAGCCGGAGACATACAATTCTCCTCCAAGGACTTCAGTCACAACTTTAATTGATGCTTTTTTTTTTAATGAGCGTCATCAGCATGGAAGGTTTCAGAGTAGCTGCAGTATTAGTCTGAATCCGCAAAAAGAAAAGGAGTACTTGTGGCACCGTAGAGACTAACAAATTTATTTGAGCATTTAAGCTTTCGTGAGCTACAGCTCACTTCATCAGATGCATGGAAGCATGTCCTCTGGCACGGTGGCTGAAGCATGAAAGGGCATACGAAAGTTTAGCATACCTGGCATGTAAACATCTTGCAATGCCAGCTACAAAAGTCCCATGCAAATGCCTGTTCTCACTTTCTGGTGACATTGTAAATAAGTGGGCAGCATTATCTCCTGTAAATGTAAACAAACTTGTTTGTCTTCGCAATTGGCTGAACAAGAATAGGACTGAGTGGACTTGTAGGCGCTAAAGTTTTGCGTTGTTGTTTTTGAGGGCAGTTATGTAACAAAAAAAAGAGATTGCACTACAGTACTTGTATTTTTCAGTTCACTTCATACTATTTCTTTTCATCATTGTTACAATGTAAATATTTGTAATAAAAAAGTGAGCAGTGTACACTTTATTCTGTGTCGTAATTGATATTAATATATTTTTAAAAACCATCCAAACGTAATACATTTCAATTAATATTCTACTGTTTTGCAGTACGATTAATTGCGATTCATCTTTTGAATTAACCTGCAATTCACCGTGACACTCAGCCAGCCAGTAAAATAGAAGATTTATTGGATGACAGGAACACAGTCCCAAACAGAGCTTGTAGGTACAACCAGGACCCCTCAGTCAATTTCTTCTGGGGGGGCAGGGAGTTCAGACCCCAGTATTGGGGCTCCCTCCGTTTCCACAGCCAGCTCCAAACTGAAACCCCCTCCAGCCGTCTTGCACCCCCTCCCCGTAGTTCCTCCTCCAGCCTTTGTCCAGTTTCCAGGGCAGAAGGTGTCACATGGCCCCAACCCCCATCCTGGGCTCTCATGTTACATGCTCAGGTATCTTCTCTCAGGGAAAGTCTCCCATCCCCAGTGCAGACAGTCCCAGTAAAACTCCCCTGCAACATTCCCAGGTCAATATTCCCCACTCCCTGCTATGTCACAGAGATTAATTGCGATTAAATTTTTTGAATTAATCACGTGAGTTAACTGCGATTAATCAACAGCCCTACTTGAAATACTACATAAATAGGACTTTAAAGAACTAACTAACAAGGTACTCAAGGATATGGCCAAGTCACTGTATTTGTCACTACAAAAATTAGCAATATTAACTAGTGTTGCATTGATTAAATGCCAAAGCTTCAACATGGAAACTTTATATAAAATCAAGAGATTCAAGAGAGGATTTTAAACTGCTTGGGGCAGGTATTGTTTTTCTAGATTTAAATCACTTATGACACTAGTTACAAATATTAACAGCATTCCCACATCAGCTAGTTCTGCCCCTTTATATGTATTTAGTGTATTATATATTTACTCCTATTTTAATATGAGCTGTAGCAGTCAGTGGCTATGTGGAGTAAAAACTTTGTTATAAATCTCAATGATATTGGATTAATGTAGCCTTCTGCATTTAATACCATTTTTTACAAACGAAGGCCAAAGATCCATTCTTGCATTCAAGTAAATAGCTGTGTTTTGAATAGAAGTGTTAAGATGTGATTTGTGTAGCTTAAAAGGGAAATAACATGTAAAACCCACCATACTATTTTAGGTTTCAGAGTAGGACCCATGTTAGTCTGTATCTGCATAAAGAAAAGGAGGACTTGTG